ATATTCTATCATTTAGTTTCCAAATATAGCAAAAAAAAAAAAAAAAAAAGCTGTTTAATTTCTAACAGAAGAACTGATGTTCTCCTGGGGTGTCAAATTTGATTTGAATATTCCATTTAAAAACTACAAAATGTCTTGCTAATTAAAAAAAAAAAAAGTTTGTTTTTTAAGATTTTTATTTAGCTTAATGTATTTCACCATTACAAATTCTTTGAAATTTTTTGCATCTTTAAATGATTCTGTTTTAAAAGACTCTGGATAAAATTCTTGTTGGCAGACTTAATTGTTCACACAGGTATTAGTCTTATTTACATTTTTCCTGCAACTGAGTTTATAAATCTTTATTTCAATGTATGAATATATTTTCTGCCCAAGTAATAGTGCTACTATTCACATTAAAAAACTTTGCTAGCAAAAATTGAAATAAAGTAAATGTTCAATCATTGAGTCAAAAAACATTCTAGAACGGGTTTGGGGCTCGATCCCCAGTTGAGGGCATGCAGGAGGCAGCCAATCAATGACTCTCTCATTGATGTTTCTATCTCTCTCTCTCCCTCTCCCTCCTCTCTCTGAAATCAATAAAGATATATTTAAAAAAACAAATACTCTGTAGCATTCCCAAATAATGTTTCCAAAGAATATTTGATGAATTTGGAAAAAATGTGTTGGTATAAGTTTTTAAATAATATTTTCAAAAATAGTTTTCTTATGATTCAGCACACACTCACAAAAAATTAAATAAAAGAGGTTAGTATTAACTCTGAGTTAGAGATTATAGTTGTTTATTTAGGTATTTGTTTTTTCCAAATTTTCTAAAATGACATGTATTACTTTTATAATCTGAAAAATCAATAAATGTTATTCTAAAATAGATACACAGCCGAAATAGTTGATTTTTTGGAAAGGGAAGCCATTAGACTATGTGATAAATGTTTTGGAGGCATTTTAAGCTCAAGTCATTCAGTAAACAATTTTGAACTATTACCAAGAATCAGCACCTATTCCATGTCAGATATAATAATTGGTTTTGAAGACATTTGAGGAGCAGTATGTGGAGATGATTACAAAATGGCTCCCACAGGTATAGGATGTAAATAAAATCAATAGTATATGATAGGTACTAGAGTAATAGCCTTAAGAAATTGCTATATGCATATCTGGACAGGAGACCTGACTATGTCAATCTGAGCCAGACTAGATCACAAGAATATAATTTATTTGAACTTCATTAACTGAATCCCGCAGGGAAATTTCTGTCTGTTTTAGAGTTGTTTTCTGTGACTTGAGCTTTAGAATAGAGTGAATATAAAAGACGATTATCCTGGCCCTGCTTGGGTGACTCTGGTGACTGAGGTCTTCCCTTGCACAAGGAGGTCACCAGTTCCATTCCCAGTCAGGGCACAGGCCTGGTTGCAGGCGCGATCCCCAGTAGGGGGCGCTCAGGAGGCAGCCCATCAATGTTCTACCTCTCTCTCTCCCTTCCTCTGAAATCAATAGAAACATTTTTTTTTTTTTTAAAAAAAGACTATCATCCTGAAAAAAACTTGCAAATTTTTAATATTCAAACTGTAATTGAAGAGTTTGATTCTGAAAGTATGTTAGTGAGTATTTGTTATGTTCCAGTACAAAGGGATAGAAAGGTGAGTAAAACAAGAGTCTTGCTCTTGGGGAGCTCAGAGGCTAAATCAAATATTTTTCTGTCTTTTGTAATATGGCCACCTGTGGTACTATCATCCAAATTTTTTGCTTAAAATCAGACAATAAAAATTAGAAAACACATTGTTTTCCTTCATTTGTTTTGTCTGCGAGGAATTTTAGACCTAATTATTACAGCATAAATCATCCAGAGATTTTCGCTTCCTATTTATTTTGATAACAAATTACTATTTTTTAAAATGGTTTTACTGTTTTTTGAAAAGGACACAGGTGATAAATCATAAAACTACCTAAATGTATTTATCATTTAATTATGAATTATTTAATTTTTACATAAAAACATGCTCAGCCAGCATGGCTCAGCGGTTGAGCGTTGACCTAGGATCCAGGAGATTGAGGTTTGATTCCCAGTCAGGGCACATGCCCGGGTTGCTTGCAGGAGGCAGCCGATCAATGATTCTCTCATCATTGATGTTTCTATCTCTCTCTCCCTCTCCCTTCCTCTCCCTGTGAAACCAATAAAAATATTTTTAAAATAAATAAATAAAAATAAATAAAAACAAAGAATATGTTTGGTAAGGGAGATAAAGGTTAAAATTAATATTTCTCATTGGTGACTTAATAGTTTTATTTTCCAAAGTAGATAATACCTATTTCAATAACGAAATCCTTTTTCTCTCTCTCTTTTTTAAACCCTCCTCTGAGAGAGAGAGAGAGACATTAACGTAAGAGAGAAACATTGGTTGCCTTCCATGAACCCACAACCTTTCGTTGCACAGGACGACGCTCAGCCAACCCAGCCACACTGGCTGGGCTGGGCAAGTTCTTCCTAAAGTTCAACTCGCAAGGCTAGATGCAGATGAGCATGTAATGAAATAAAGTACCGAGGACAAGCATGTGCTGGGCAGTGACAGGAATGCTGTTTGTTGCATGGACAAACTAACAAGTATTCAAATCCCATTATCTACACTTGTTGACTTTGACATTCAACCAGAACAGCAAAGGGCAAAGGCTAAGGTACTCTAGAATGTCTTTCTTTCATCTATAAGAGTAAGTACATCATTTTTTTTCTTGAATACATTCTGAAACAAGCCTTGAATTTAATGATTTTTTTTTCTCTTTTCAGTTTAAGAGGATTTCGTTTTTGCTAGATGATCTGGATGACTAACTGGTTGAACAAAATACAATATATTCATATAAAGTATGCATATCTTATAAATATAAGAACTTATACATTTAAAATAAATATACAATTAATGTTTAATGCAAGAAGTAAATATTCTACTTAAAGCTATATGAGGTAAAGATTTTTAATTTGAATGCATGTGATCAAATATGTAAGTAATTCAATTTGAAAATAATAAAGTATGGGGAAGAAGATTTACTGTGGTTGCAACACTATGATTTTTTTACAATTGTATATATGAGGATAAGAATTTAAAAAAATTCAGTATGATAACTAGATAAAATATGGCTTTAATACCATATAAATGACCTCATTGTAATTAGTAAGCCTTTCATCCTAGTGGAATATGGATTTTATAGTAATAAGTGAATTTTAGAAATAATGCCATTTAAAATTTTTCTAAGCCAAGAAAAGCAAATTATTTTTTCTTAAACTGTTAAAACTATTTTTCCTGGTTATGTCATGAGGAAATAAATCTGCCAGATTCTTTCCCTTAAAAAGTTCATTTTCCAAATCAAGCATCAGAAACCAGGCAAGAAATTTCAGCTCAAAAATATTTTTTTCCAGGAAGGAACCCAAAAAGTAACTTTGGATTAATTGTATCTCCTTTATACTTTGTTCCTAATTTTTCAAAATTTATTCAGTGCTTTATAAAATATACTGAATAAAAGAATGTAAAGTCTGACAAAATGACACGTAGTAAAGAGAAAAAATTAGGTTATTGAATATTATCAACTAATGGGAAGTATTTGATATTTGGAGTTGAAAAATATTTGGTTATTGAAACAAATAAGACCCGCCTTAGATGGTCTGGCTCAGTGGTTAGAGTGTTGGCCTGTGGACGGAGGGGTCCTGGTTTGCTTCCAGCCAAGGGCACGTACCTGGGTTGCAGGCTCAATACCCAGCCCTGGTTGGGGCACGTGAGGGAGGCAACCAATTGATGTGTGTCTCTCACATCAATGTTTCTCTCTCTCTCTCCCCCTCCCACTCTCTCTGAAAAGCGATCAAAAAAAAAAAATAAAACAACAACAAAACAAATAAGATCCAATAAGCCCTAGCTGCGTGGATAAGTTGGTANGATCAAAAAAAAAAATAAAACAACAACAAAACAAATAAGATCCAATAAGCCCTAGCTGCGTGGATAAGTTGGTAGGCGCATCGTCCCATACACCAAAAAGTTGTGGGTTTGATCTATTGGTATACATACAGGAGACAATTGATCAATGTTTCTCTCTCTCTCTCTCTCTCCCTCTCCCTCTCCCTCTCCTTCTCCCTTCCTTTCCTCTCTAAAATCAATAAAAAAATATATCCTCAGGTGAGGATTAAAAAAAAAAGATCCAACAAGAATGGAGGAAAAGTTTTTATCCATGGAACCAATGGGCCTTAAGTATAGGATTACTAGAATTACGTCTTCTAAAAAAAATAAATGTGCTTTTAATGGTTTTTGAATTTGAATGTTAGATTTACTAAAAGCCAATGTGCACAAATAGAGTTGGCAACTCTAAGCAATAGCCTTCTGAGTATATTGAAGTCCAAAGAAAAAGTGTTTCATTCCATTTTCTACAAGGGACCCGAACAAATTTTATACCTTGGAGCCTGCAGATTTTAGTTCTTATTAGGACAGCAGAATTGAAGTTGTTACTGCCCAGGAAGAAATGATGTTTAAGGGAGTTAAGTCTAACTAAAAGAACATGGCGTAAAGTAAGTACTATAAATGTAGAGATTTTGCATGTGTGCGAAAAGTAAAAGCTTCAACATTTTAGACAAAATATTTAAAACTTATTCGTGACTTTAAAAATAAGAAATATATTGGCTAAAGAATACTTTTTAAAACTCCAAGCTAAACACTGGAAGCTGGATCTCTTTCTTCTAGCCCACTGATGGATATGAAAGCAAATGAGTATGTCCTCCAATAGCTGAAACAATTGAATTTTTAGAAAAGAAATCGGTGTAGAAATCAATAGATGTACCCAGACTGATGTAAGTTCTTAAGAAACAAAATAATAGTAAGAGTAATAATGGAAAAGAAAAACTATAGATGGATATTTTCTGATCTCAGAATAGGGACTACCTTTCCAGGCAATATAAACAAAGGCACGAAAAAGACATTTCTAAAGAAGCTTGAAAGCTATCATCACATAAAAAATTAAAAGATAAATGACAAAAAGAATTTTCCTTTTATATGTAACAAAGGAGTAACATTCTTTATATATCACAATCTCTTATTCATTAATAAGCAGAAAAGGAATATTCAATATATACACATATAAGTAACTTCTAATACCCTAATATTTTAAAAAAGAAGACACACAAGTAGTGATAAATGAACACATTAAAATGTTTAGCCTTGCATAAGTAAAAATTAAAATTTTGCCTATAAATTAGTTATTTAGGGGGAGGGTGTTAAAAAACTTAGCACTCTTACATACAGCTAGTACATGTTATTTTCAGCTTAAAATAACCTTGATTTTTATTTACTCTTGCTTGTTTAGCTTAGGACTTTTTTTGTTCATTCTCTTTGCAGATCTGTACTTACCCAGAACTTAAAATGTAGTCACATTGGTGTCTGAATTTATTCCTCACCTGGAGTGTTTGTGATTTTATATTTGAAAGCCTGTATTTAAGTGTCTCCTGTCCTTCTGGGGGTCTCTGACTCTAGGATCATACCTATGTTGCCTCTGACTTTTTGAAATCTGCTTTTTTTAAAGAATACATTTTTCTTTTGGTGAAAATTAACTTCTCAAGTTCACTTATTTTCTTTTTTGTTTTCCAGGAAACTACCAGCAAAATAATATAGCATTTGGTCACATGCTCAAGTTTTAGCAGAAGATTTTGGCTGCTGTCTATAGGTTGATGTCTCTGTTAGGAGCTTATTTTTCTGTTTTGCCTTTTTGCTGACATTATCATTATTTAACCTGGTCTTACAGATTATTGTTTATGAACACGCTGAAGCAAACCAACAATATAAAATGTTGATCATATACATTAGTCACCTATCATCCACCCACCCATCCATCATCTTTAGCCTCATGCTTAAAACTTCCACTGCTCAGTCTTATAAAAAGAAATACATCCCGGGACCATACTTTCTCCTTAAAATTTCTGATTTCTACATTGGTATATAATTTCTCAGTTTCCTAAAATGGTTGTACCAGAGGATATGATCCTTGCAGCCATATATTATATATGTTTTCTATTCACTTTTTTTCCTGCTATCCATTTCATCTGGACAAAGCATAAAGTGCTTCGAGACTGATTCCCATTCAAATGAAGCTATTCTCAATTCTCATTCTGATTATTAACTGTGAACTGCGGGACACTCCCAATATTATGCATCTGTTTTGCCACCCATGCTCTTCCTCAAAGTATCTGCTTTTAATGATCTGAGCAATGTTCTTTGCCTTCAGCTTTAACCTAAATTGCTTTACATTTGCCATGTAGTACTCCATTTCCCAAAGCGTGTTCTGTGGAACACTAGCTATGGGAAAGTTCAAGAAAAGCTACATGACAAAAAACAACAAAAAATGTGTGGGGTTTTGAGGTAAAAAATGTCTGGAAAGTAGTGGGTTAAAAGAAATAAAACTTTTGTAAAGAACTTCTCAGTAACTATACATGCTAATTTATAAGCCACACAAGAAAAATAAAGTTTAGGCAGTTATTTCCAAAATTATTTCAACATCCAACCCTCTTTTGAAGAACATCCAACAGGGTTATCATTCATCTTTTTAAACTGTTTAAGAACCTCCACATACTTCTACATACCCACATCAGTTTTCAGGGGGTCTTAATTAGGGCACTGAACACGGAACCTTCTTTCTAAGGTGGTATTATTCCCAGCCACTGCCAGAGCCCATTATTTCAGTAACGTTGCCATGATTCAAAACATGAACTACTGTTTTATGAACATATAAGCAGCTATTCCCTTTCTAAATTCTCTTCTTCTTTTCCAAAGTTCAAACATCCAGAGGGATTAAAACCACTGAATTCTCTCCAATCCTTCAAGTTTTCTATCATTTGAAAGTCACCAGAGATACAAACCAGGCTTCTTTCAGGTTATTATCTGGTGCTCGTTCAGCAAAAGTGGATTAGCAGTTGGCAAACTGTCAAATCTCAGGTGTCTACTATAGAAATGGCAATAACCAATTCCGTGGGAATTTTCCGCTTGTTATGGGGAGCTCCATTCGTTCTGAGATAGTTTTCCATCTTGCTTCGCTGGCTTATTAGCTTCTTAAAAATAATTTTAATTCTCCAGGGCTTCTTTAGAATTCTCTCACCCCTGCTTCCTTCTTAATTATTTCTAACACCCGACAAGAATCTTTCATACTATAGAAGAATCAGAGTTTAAGAAGTAGTTATTTACATTTATTTTCTTCCTAAGTAGAGCATGAAAGTTCCTGTAAGTCTCATAACTGATGAGTGCCTTAAGCCCCCTTTCTCTAGATATCTCATCTGATCTCACTTTGAAACATCACACTGATAATTTCCATTCTAATGTATTTTGGGTCCTCCCCTCTTTCCTAAATTTTGGGCTCTCTTAAGTTCTAGTTGTTATGTCTAGGCTGAATGGCTAGTGGCATCTCAAACTCAACACGGTCAAAGCAGAAATCTTTTCCCTCCCTCTCTACTTTGCCTCAGTCATCTCATTTATCTTATATACAGTAGCCAGAGAATGGTCTTTTAAAAATGTCAAGAAATCTTACCCATGTCTGGTTTAACCCTTTGCGGTCGTTTGTCTGCTCTCAGCCACCACAGCAAGGAACCGTACGAATCTTAACTCTATTCATTCATGTATCAGTTCATAATTTCTCTGAAAGTTCTTAATTCCGACCAGTACGACACCCATGTCCAAATTTAATACGACCGCAAAGGGTTAAAACCTTCTAATGAATCGGCAGTGCTCTGAGACTAGAATAAAAACTCTTTACCATGGCTTCCAAGACGCTTTGTCATCTGGTTTCTGCTCCCTCTCAAACTTCATCTCACACATTTGTCCCTCTCTTCCCGTGCCTTGAAAATGGCAAGTACATTCCTGTGTTAGGCTCTTTGCACCAGCTGTTCCCAAAACCTAGAGTGTAATTCCCTCATATCTTCTTCAGGCCGGGTCCCTTCTACCATCCAGGTTTTGGCTCAAACGTTAACTCAGTAAAATTTCTCATCCCTATGTCCCTTTCAAAGCAGTGCCCCTTTCTCCACCCTCCTCCCCACAAGTCACTGTCATTACTATTTAATTATTTTTATTCATTGCAATTATGATTATCAGAAATAACCTTATTTATTGTTTTCCTTTTTAATGTTATGGCAGGGACCTTGTCCATCTTCACAGCTGCATACTTGGTGCCAGTATGGTGCCTGGCACAGAGAAGGCCTTAATACATCATTGCGATATCTACAAAACATGAATGTCTTCAGCTCTCCTGAATCTTAAGCCAAACTAGCTTTTGTAAGCACCTTGCCAACTGACCAGTAACATTTTTTCTGGCAGTAGAAAATTGTGGGAATACTGACTTTATTCCAACTTTGAAAGAAAGTGAAATACATTTTCTGTCATTAAAAAAAAAAAAAAAAAAAACCCAAAAAACTTTCTAGAGAATTCAGAAAGGCATTGCATCAAGAATAATTCCACAGTTCTCTTAGCTTAGCCGAACCTGGCACATTAGGAAAATTATACCTTACCATGGGTGAAGAGAACCACTTCATGAGTAAGCACGCAGGGAAAACACCAGCACACATATGTAGACCTTCTCACAAGGTCAAATCCAGCGAGAAGAAATGCAAATCTCTTCTAGAGCAGTGAACGACACTGTTGTTGGAAGCATTCAAGGCTTCATTACTGACCCTGGGAATGAACTCCAAAACTACCTTGCAATGCCTTGTTCTGGACCAGGACCTGAGGTCAAGATACAAACAAACAAAATAAAATGTAACCGAATGCCAAAGAAAACATACATAATGGTTTTCTTGGGGATGCCTGTGTGTGCTTTTGCAAGGGAAGTAGAGAAATGGGCGTCAGGACCAGCTCCCTACTTTGCCTGGTCCACTTCAAAATGAAAAATCAGAAATGCCTTGGCGGGGGCAGGCAGCCCCCGAGCGGGTCCCTCTGAGGCGGGGCCCTCGCGGGCACGAAGCCTGCCCTAGTCAGATTATTAACACCCATCGTCAAGGCCTGGACGGCAGCCTCGCTTCCCCGCCCCCTCCCGAACTACCGCAACAAGGAGCCTTCCTAACCTTAGGGCGCATGGTGCCCAACCTCGGTGGGGGGGGCGCCCGGCGGGGCTCGGGGGCGTCACTCCTACGAATCCGACTTTCTCGGGATAGAGCAGGGAAGAAAACGGAGCCTCCTGAACTGGGAGCTGCAGACACAGAGAAGGGAGAGGGAGAGAGGCCACATTGGACTCCCCTCCGGCCTTTATGTAGACAGTGCCCCCCCCATCAGGTCTTCTGAGTCCGGCTACTTGAGTATGTCTGGCGCCTTGGGAGCGAAGGTGGAGAAGGTGGGTTTGGGTGTCGGTGGGTCAGAGACACAACAAGTAGAGGCGGGCTGAACC